TCCTCGGTTGAAGCTGCTCATGCCGTACTTTACTTTTGTGCACAATCATTATCAAATTTAGAGACAAAAACTGAAAGTACAAAATATATTAAATCACCCGCTTCTTGCAGAAAAAGATAGCAGTTCACTTTAAAACATATTCTTTAAGGCCTTTCTGTAACCCTGAATTCCCAGGATTAGGTCTCGCTTGTGTTGAGCCTTCTCTTTAAGCCCTCTCAGCTCTCTGCATCAATAAAGACAGATAATCAAAATACATTACTACTAGACCAGGAAGCTACATATAAAGGGTTTTGTTGGGTAACTTTAACACTTCTTTTGACTAAAAAGTAAAGTTTGGGTGCTAAATCATAAAGCATCCCAACCATGACACTAGAGGTTTGACTCTCTGATGCAGGGATACATGTCTCTGAGGTTATTGGTCAGATTTGATTGATCCGTGCACAAGATCCTGTTTTCTTTTGGCACATGACCTTATATTTAGTCTGCAAAATGTAGCAAAGAGAAAAGGAAAGCCTCATAGATGTTGTTTACTATGTAACAAAGTTAGAGAACGCAATTTGTGGATCTGCTTTTGAGATTCTTAAGAAAGTCCTGTGTTGGCAGAATAACCTTTTCAGACTATAGGGAAGATTTTACTGATTGTTTTGTTATTTGACATAAAAATGTCATAGGAAGTCTAAGTGGCGCATCGCTTTACTCTCCTCCGCTTGTCTCTCCTCCGCTTGTCTCACCCCTCCTCCTCCCTTGTTAACATTGCAGCTAGCCGTGTTATTCCCCTTATGCTTGTAATGTAATTTTACTCTATGAATTATACTCACATAATTTGATTGGTGTGAGAAAGTCTGTAAGAATATACTGAGACTAAATGAAAAGGGCTTCTTGTTCTGTAATATCTGAACTTGCTGTCAGTGATAGCGTTTAGCAAGGCCCTGAAATTGTAGTGTTCTACTCTAAGCAAAGCTATTTATTTGTCATTAAATTAGATAAAGGTGAGGGCTGTTGAAAAGCAAAGTAAGAATTATTATTATATCAAGATTTCTGATGGCAAATATTCATGTTAAAAGTAGTTTGTGCCCTTTTTTTCAGAGAAATGTATTCGTCACTTCATTAAGTTAAGCCAAAGTTTGTCTAAAAGCAAAGTAAAAAATAATATTTTATCATGATTTCTGATGGTAAATGTACATGTAAAAAGTTGTTGTGCTCTTTTTAAAGCGCCCAGGGGCTATCGTGACACCTCGGCACCTCGCAGCCTTTGTGCTAAAAAGAGGTGAAAGGTCTCTGTTGTATTTTCAGGGTGACCTGCTAGTGACTATTAGCCATTGATAAATGTGATGTCCCACAAGTGTGCGGGCTGGACCCCTCCAAAGGGGGAGGTGTCATAACACGCCCCACACTAACCTCCCCAGCCAACCCCACCTCAACGAGTGCATACACACACGCAAACACACACTCTGCCCTGCTGACAGGAGCACAAGGGGGCAGCTGCTACAGATGTCTCATAGAGAGAGGGGGAGGGGAGCCGAGGAGACATCAATGGAGAGTCTCTCTCTAGTATGGAGTTCTCAGTGGGGCTCATTGTGTTCTCTAAGGACCAAGACGAGGGAATAGGCCACGTTAATATAGTAAGCCTATAGTCTCTTATACTTTGTTTGAGGGTGCTGCTCACGTTGACTGCTGGGCTGTAACATTAGTTTCAGAGCGAATTGTCTTAAATATCACCAAATATTAGCTCAGTTTACACAGGTTGAAAAGAGAGTATATAAGAATAACCTTCTTTTCTAAAAGTGCAAAACTTAGCCTCCAGTACTTTTTTACTCAAAGAGTGAATCACACAAAGAATATTTAAAAGGCTGACAAATTCCACTTCTTGAATTCACCTCTACAATGAGAAAACTATGAAGGATTTCCACACTCTCTTCACTTGTGATGTCTAATTTAATTCAGGGTGAAGCAGCAATGTACCATGGAGTGCTGTGCATACTCCCGTGTCAGCCAACACCTAATTGTCCCACGACAGAAGGTGATTTCAGTGTACAGCACACTTTTAACAAGAGTCAAGTGAAGTCACCTGCTGGCGCCTTAAAGCTGCAAACTGTCCTGTCTTCTGTGGGTGCTAATCCCTTGTTTAGTGTCCCCTCTGGCCTTAATCAACTTGTTTTCAAGGTGTCATTAAGGCTTGTTTTTATATTTACTTCAGGTAACTAGAAGGATTTGCTCAAGCGTGTTTGGAGCTGAGCTTTTTTTACTCTCTACTTCACTATTATTTGATGTGATGCAGTCCCATGTCTGGTGGGGGTGTGAAAGGCCATATTTTGAGTCACATGAGCTAAGCAAGAGAGTGAAAAAGAAGCGTAAAACTCCTCCTTGAATGAGAAGCAGCTGAGTGTAACTGCCAGCCATGCACGCAAGTCATCTAACATGAAATCAAATTGCATTGAACTTAAACTGCCATAGCATGGCAACTTTGCAGCCATGCAGGGTTAGCCTGCTGTGGCCAAACACTGCCATTCCTGACACTATGGCTCTTGTTCAGCTCGACTACCAGAGGACAAGGGAGAGCCCCACTGTGTCTCAACCCTCCTAATGAAGAGATGCATTATGATGTGATTTCATTTGGGCCTGCAGAAAAGCTGCTGTGGATAACAGAGCAGTCTGAGTAGCATGGTCCGTTTGTGTAGTGACATGTGACTTGTGTTTTCGTGAGTCATAAGGATCTCCTGCCTAATGGAAGGCAGTGTGTGCTCATGTGACGGTGACACAATGCAGGATGAACTGTATAGTATTCAACAGAGCTCAGCTTGGCTACTGTTTGGCACAGCTAATAGGGACCCATGCGCGCCTTTTTATCTTGTTAATTGTTCTCATAGTGAAACTAAACAAACCATCACTTCTGTTTATTTCACTGAAGGGTTTTGGCTATAGTGGTCACTGTGTAATCGGTTTAAAACTCTTACGAAATTGGGGTTTTTCAAGAAATGTGTAAAGCTGTAAGTACTGCATATGTGCATGTGTAGATATGAATGCATATGCGAGTGTGTGTTTGCGTGCATTGTCTTTGACTCATCATGATCTCCCTATGGACACGGTGGTGTTTTTGCTGGCTCATCCCTGCCTCTCCACATGCCTGTTTAACAACACTGAGCTCCTCCTTACAGGCTTCCTGTCCAAACCAGTTTATCTGTAAACAAGTGTGTTTTTTTCCTCTCCGCCCCATTGTCCACACTACACCAGAATGCATGCACAATGGGCGCCCTCTCTCTCCCAGTTTGCTTTGTGTTTTTACTACCAAATACACAATGCAAAAAAATGGCTGGCTTCTTGATGAGGACTGAAGAAATATGAAGTTCTAAAATGGCATTACCATACATGTAAAAAAAGTAAATGACATCTAGTAAGTTGTATTTGAAAGATTGGCCTCTATACACTTAAACACCCGATAAATGCAATGTAATGCATCTTGGTGGAGCCAACCTATAGCAGGTGAATGTCATGTATTGTTATTATGTGTGCATTGGGATGAAATGGCTGTCTCTGTTTATCTTGCCCGAGGTACACTATGCTGCAGGTTATGATAACAGCAGGGTTATTGTGGCAGAGCCCAACCCGTCCCTGCATGCACACTACAGTAGTGTTTAGTGTGGTGATGCCAAGCTAACTTTTAACGAAGAAGTGGTTATGTTATATAATGAATTTATGGAATGTGTTTCTTTTAAGGAATGCGTTAAAAAAAAGTTACATTTAAAAAAATTGGGCTGCTTAAAAGGAATATCAAAATGTTGAGGGGGCTATGTCACAGCAATTTAAGAAAAGCGAGCAAAATCATTATTCCAACTCTGGAAAATACGATTTTTATAATCCAACACCACATTATGACCAAGAAATGCATGCATGTAAGCTGAATATAAGGCCGCCAAGGATGCATTTGGTTTGCATCCTTGGCGGCCTTAGGAGAAATCCCACAGACTCCTTTACTTCTTGACCTTTACATATACCAGATGTTATACCCATGTCATCCATGGCTGCAATAATGTGTTTTATTTGGCTATTTATTGATTGTTTTGACAGGCCTGTCACTCAGAGACAGGCAATATTGCTCTAACTGTAGATAAGAACCCATACTATAAATAAGGAACATTTGACATTCATTACTCTCATATAAAGGATGGTAACAAAAGTTTTGCAACGTATTCAGCTTTCCTATACACCCATAACACAATGCGTTTAGATGTAGCCAAATCTTATGTTGTACAGAAGGCTTTATAAAGGCCTGTAGTCCATATGCAATCTGGAAATAGTGTTGTTGCATGCCCATTGCTCATAGTTCAAACTGGGTTTTTATGACTCTGACAAAAAGCACAAATGTTTTTATTCACATATTTTAATACGGGATATCCATAATTATGAATAATGATTGAGTTAAGTGCAATAGCAGACAGCTGACTCATTTTGATCTGGGTAATGTGAGTAATAGTCTGTTTTAACCACAAGGCCAATTGAAAAGTCTCAGTGATTGCTGTTTTGTTGGGGAGTTAGCTCTTTAGTGGAAATGAATTTCATGACAAATAATGTTTTAAGAAGAAATAAGTCAAGACCTTGCGGATGATTCTTTTTTTGTCCTTAGTAAGAAATGGCTAGGGTCCCCAGGAATGACAGTCCTTTAATGTTAAATATGTCGGTAAAATAAGGGTTCTATGAGCATATTGTTGCTAAAAGATCATGGCATTAATTTCATATGTAACATTCTGGTTTGAACAAGTTTCAACGTAAGGGTTTTTTCGCCCTGATCAGTGCTGTAAAGTCATTGAGGTCGGGACCTGAAGGGTTAATTTGTCCCTCTCTGTTCAACGCTGCGTGGGCTGCGAGATCATTCGAGAGTGCATTTTCAGCGACCAATCAGCGGCGCGGACTCCACTCCGTATCCAGCCAATGGGGAGAATGGGAGGCTCTATCGAATTTGAATGAGGAGTGTATCTTTCGGCGCCATTTTCGAGTGAGCAGCGATTGCCTCAGCAGCTGCGGAGAGAGGATGCTGCGAAACACAGAGAAATCTGTAGGGGAGAGAAGACGGAGCGCTCAGAATTAAACTGCGCTTTTTTAAGAGAGGGGGAGGACCACGTACTTTCAATGGAAAGACAGGTAAATTATGCCACAAAGAGTTTATTTTAACCGGATAATATCAACGGATTTGAAGGAAGGGGGTCCGTTGAAGAGAGCCGTTAGCCGTTTGTACAGCTTTGCCAGCTTGTTCTACTCCTAGCCTGTTAGCTTAGCGTGCTAGCACAGATAGAGGGACTTTGCTGCGCTGTAACGGTAGAAAAAAATATGCACTCGTACCGCGGTCCGTTTTATCCAGGAGGTGAGCCGAATATATAACAATATATTTAGATAAAATATATTATATGGAGGCGACACTTGACTTAAAGGTTATTTGCAAAAGTTAAACTATAATTGAGTCTTTTTTTTCGATTTGGAGCCTAGTTTTGAGCGGGAGGTGCAAAAGCAGCCGACCGAGCAGAGGAGCAGCACAGTCGGCAGTGTCAACACATGCAAACGGCTCCTAACGTTACACTGGCTTGGGAGGGGACAAAATAAAATGGGGAGAGACACGGTGCCTTTTGTGGTAACTATATTTTACAAAGCTTGTTAACTGAGGAGGAGTTTTTGTCCGTGCTTGCAAACTGCATATGTGAAAACCATTAAACACCTGGTAAGTTTGTCATTATATCTCTGTATGACCTTACTCTCAGTCATGACTTTAACCCTCCTGTCGTGTTCGGGTCAAATATGACCGACTTCCATCAATCATAAATATTGTGTTTTACATTTGCTTCAATGCCTTGTGATATCCTTCACAGTAGGCATTTGGACATATACAATTGCCGATCATCACTTTCATTGAATTTGTAGTGGTTTGGTCAACTTTGTTAGCCCTATGGTGTTCCTGGTAATTTAAAAAAAAAGACCGCCATAGGAAATGAATGGGTAACCCTAGATTATGTCCATCCATCAGATAGTACACACCCACAAATCGACCAAATGTTAATTTTGGATTAATTTTGGAATACATGTACAGTCTTTGCATATTCACTGTAGTTATCCATGTGAACCAGTAGCCCGAGACGCTGTTTCCAGCCCAAAAGAGTATTAAACCCAATTTGGTGATGATTGAGGGTTTTTGTGTTAATGTAAGGGCAGATTGGTCAAATTTGACCGGGAACACCAAAGTAATGGGGGGGGGAGAAACGAACACGACAGAGGGTTAATGTTAACGACGGATTTTTAAAAATGTTATCTTAACCCGTATTTGCAGTTTTAACGTTAACTCCAACATCAGGACATTCTCATTCTTACGTGCTTGCTTTATATTTGTGTCTGTCGTACCGTAACGTTAGAAGATCAAAGTGGCTCTCAGCCAAGTGACAACAATCATAGGTCGCTGCCTCTGATGATTCAACTTTAATAGCTCCGTTTGACGAATGGTTGTCATAACCACTGCCGATGCAGTAAAGTTGATTTAACGTTAGTTATTGATTATGAAAAAATGGTGTCATTAGTTGTGGTGTTGCTCGGTGTAACGCTGGGGGTTTGGGATGATCGTAGTTTGATGCAGAAAGGTTTTCTCGTCTTGTTTGCCCTCAATAGCCTCGCTCCTCTTTCGGTGTGCCCTGCTCTCTGATTCAAATCAAGTACATGAAGGGAGAAAAAAACCCTCCAACGTTACTGGGTCTAATCGTTTTAGTAAAGGGTGCCAAAACGGGACCTAATCATTAATTATTGAGACGTTCTATGTAAGGCATTTTATTCTGTCTTATGCTTCTCATAATGAACATGACTACTTGACTAATAAAGCACTGAGAGAGGAAAAGAGAGGCTCCATATAATTGTGCGTCTAAACCAGCCCCTTCTGATTCCTTCTAAGTAGAGATCGGTTTAATGTGTTACATAATGCGAGGCCTCCCTATCTTTCACAGTGTATCATTTATTTCAACACATACGTGCCCAAAGCTTCAAGAATCATGTTAAAATAAGAACAAACTAAAACATCTTAATTTATAATAACTGCTTAGAGAGAAAAAAACAATTTATGCACCTTTTTTTCCTCTTTTTTTGCAATGCATTCTCCCCTTGCCCTGTCACAAATGACTGCTTTCATATAGCATTCTTCCCAGGATTATTATTCATATTCTGCAGAATTAAGCTAAACAGTTGATTCCCCTTCAATTAGATATTAATTACCTTAATACAAATGTTATATGCTTAGCTTTCTTCTTTGAAAGTGCAGTATGTGTCCTTAGTATAATGGTTTTTTGTATGGACTTGGGACAGTGTGTTTATGAAACCCACCTTACATATATAAGATTTGGTGTTTTTGCTTTTAAGGCATTTAGTTAAAGGTACATTTGCAAACGTGATATCAGGGAAGACCTTTCACTGCTACATAGCTGAGCAAAGAGGTGGAGGAGGGGGAAATACTGTACTTTAAGATTTGATCCGCTTTAATCTGTGGGTGTACGAAACACAATGATAACATACAGACATGTAATTATCTGCTTCAGGAATAAATAATTTGGCGATATTTAATGTAAACCACATGGTGTATTTTAAATGGTTATTAATGTATAGTCATCAAAGTTTCCTGTTGTCTGGCTTTGTTTAACTCAAATAAGCACTGGATGAATAAAGACAATATCCCAACTGTTAATCAATAATTACATAACCAAAAAAACGAGGCTTCTTGATAAATGTGTAAGAAAAAAAGCTATTCGGGTTGTGATGTGATATTTTTCATACCACCAGATAAAGTAATGCGGTTCATAGCTCAATATCTAATTGTTTTTATCGGGTGGATTCATACCAATTTTGAATTATAATATTGGGATGTATGCATATGTGTATAAAAAAAGGTTTTACATTTTCTTTTGAAAAGCGAAGTACACCTGCTTGCTTATTTAATGCTTAAAGTAAAAATTCTCCATCCACCGGTCGCTTTATAAATCAACACAGAAAGTTATTTGCAGTTTGAACATTTCAAATATAATACGGAACACTTGGTCAGTTAAGTGAAGACTTAAAAAAACAGTAATTTATGGATTTCGGTAAATTAAATTAAATTGGGGGGGAAATGAAACTACACGTGTTTATAGATGGCACTTACTATTTCAGATGAGGCAGCAATAGTGATTACAATTTAGTTAATGAAAGTAATCTTTTGATATGAGTTTTTCAGTTGCAGTGTTGATAGATATTTCTGTTTCATGAAAGACTACAGATCTGACTGATCAAACCTCTAAAGTGAACATGGGAGCACTTTTGTCAGAATGAAATGTAATGATTAGGAATCTTAGTGATATATAAACTTTGACACATTGGCAATCTACTATTTGAATGTGTATCTCATCCTGGTGAAATAGGTGGTGTAAAGATTTTGCTCATATTATATAAGAGGGATTAAAGTGTTGTTGATACTGTCCCTGTAAGCAGTTGTCAAATTAGTACTGTATTTGACTAGTTATGTATTCCGGTGGAGTCTGCAGTTAATCTCCTGTAAATGCTGGAGGTTTATGTCTTCCCCCCGTTCTCTGGTATTCGCCTCTTAACCCTCTGTGCGGAGCACCGTTGTGCTGTTTCAGACTGTTAGCATGACATTCTGTGACTCATCATTCTGTCTTCTCAGACCCCTCCAGCAAAATGGGCTCCCACCCCCATTTCCTGGTGAAACTGTGCCTCTCTTCTTGTACTTGCTCACATGTGTTGTAGCCAGGCTGCAGAGAACCCCCGCCCTTCTCTTCCTTCTTTCTGCACAACTCAGCACAAACTTTATAGTATTAAAATGTGCGGTGATGGGAACATGTTTCCACGGGTTTTGTTGATTCTTTTCCAGACGTTGGCCGTGGTTTCACTTCGATGCCCTCGCCGCTTTAATAAAAGAAAAGCTTTAATAATAAAAGCTGTCACATTTGTTTTATGTACATCAGTCAGTTTTCCAGCGGACATGATTTCAGTTCAGGAATAACTTTAAATGTGATTGATCTATATTATCCTTATGTTTGGATCTGCAATGTATTTAGCATAATGCATGAAGTTATGGTTGATAACACTAGTGCAGCATATTAGGGTGACAGGTCCTTGCATGTTTCTTAAAAGCATGTGTTTTACATGGGCTTAGATTTGTCCATCACTAGTGCAAACAGCTCTACACCTGTTTCACATAAATAGTGAAGATGTTTAAACAATTTGTATTAAGGTGCCATTCATCTTTGTCTTTTTAAATATTATCATCGGTTGTGTGCTGGACTGCTGTTGTAGTTTTGGAAAATCCTGAAGTGGAAAAAGTTGGTATTTATTTGAAGCAAGAATGTTGTTGTAAACAATATCTTTACGCGGTTAATTGGCAGCAATTTGTAGATTTAAAACAAAGTCTAGCACTCTTCTTTAAAAGTTAGATCTTTTGATCCTCTGCGGCTGCACTCAGAAATGTGCAGTTTCCCTTTTATTGTTGTTTAGTGTAATGGCAGTACTACTTTCAACAACATGTTTAAAAAGAACATGTCAGCTGTTCGTGCTGGTACATTCTGTTTGATAATTAAATCTGAGGTTGTAATATGATAAGCTGGAACAGCAGATCTGACATGGCAAGAGTATGCCTCCTCTGACTTCACACATGCTGTTTTCATTTCTGCTGCACCTGAAAGTGTTTGAATAGCCCACAATATTCACTTGTAAGCAGTTTGATTGGAACGATTTCTAATGATCCTAAAATACTGCTGGGTGGTTTTCTATAATTTGTTCATAGGGTTTAACTAATTTAAGCAGGGTTACACTTTACCCACTATACCTAGTCAGGTGGTGTGAGTGGGTGCAGAGAGGCCAGATATTGTTTCCACATGCAGTGAAACCAACCATTCCTGGTTTGGCCAGTTTGCTTTACTTAATAGAACTTGTTTGGTGTACATGCAACGGTGACATCCGCACACATCCTTTTAGAATTATGGCATTAACTCATCTTGATCTGCTGGCGTGTCATTTTCACTGCGGTAAAGTTGCAAGTAGGTCGGTCAATGTAATTCAACATACAGCGAGCATGGTACTTATTACACTTTGATGTATTTATTCATTCCAATGATATATGAACATGTGAACTCAGTCCGTGGTGTAACATAAAAACATAAAGCCTGTTTTTTTGCGGAAAAATATACTGGTGATATTTTTAAGACACACTTTTTACACTATGACCCAAAGTTGGTCTAATATCTGAATAATTATTTGCATTTAAGTTTGAATACCAACCATACCTCAAGTATAGCCGGTGTTAGTGTAATTTCTTGTATGGGTGTGCTATCCAACTTTCACTCTTTAGCTTCCTCCTTTGCCAATCCTGATTGTGTGCCTGAACATACAAAATACACACTTAGCAGGATCTTAACAATAGCCATAGTGGTGGTTCTGTAAGAAGTTATTTACTGTAAATAAGCATTTAATCAAAGGTTCCAAAAAGTTTTTAATAGTTCCATGCTATTGGTCAAGTGTAAACTAAGTCCTTGGGTCGTACTTTTGAAATTGCAACACAGTGTACTACTTTGTCGGCATCCTGTTTATTGCTGCTCTGTCTTCCTTGGCAGTAAGAGGAAGCTTGTGATCATTAAAATGTAAGTTCTAGTAAATAACTGGAATGATCAGAAATGTAATATTAAGGAATGCAAACTATTGGGTTGCAATGCATTACTTCTAAAGGAGAGGCAGGTACACCAGTTTGTGTGAATATTTCACACATTGTAGACACACAGACACGGCTGTTGCTCATGTTGGGGCCCAGCTTTAATATACCTGCAATGAATACATATCTGCTGGTGAAAAAGGGTTTACTGGAGTTCTCTGTAATTCATTTCATAAGATACTGCCGTTGCTTCCAGGGAATCCCAGTCACCCTGCCCGTGCTATGCTGGACATGTTTTGCTGGCTGTGCAAAATGTAACAGGTTTTTCTAGGATTAACACGTCCCATTACAGTGCTGGTGTTCGTATGACACAAAGCAGTTCTTTATCAGTACCATCCTTGGTCCGCACATCCTCAGTTTCTCATAGACTTAAACATTGTAAGAGGTCATTTTATTTTTTGTATTACTGGACGAATTGGTTTTGTATTTGACTTCTGTAGAGATCGCATGCTGTGAACAAGCTGCTGTAACATAGTTTGTTTGCACTGTGTGTATTCTTGCCAAACACAGGACAAATATAATTGGCAAGCTTAATACCTGTTTATCTGGCCTTATTTTCTTATGTGATGGAAGGATTTGTGGTAGTGTGTAATGGTGCTTTCATGACAAACTGAAAAGATAGGAAACGGGTTCTAATCTTACATTCCTTCCTGGTATTCTGGATGGTTAAATGTGTGATCTGTAAATGTTATTAATCACTAATGTTTGGAACGAAGATATTGTGACTGAGTAGTTTCCTTCAATGGCTGTAGTGGATAGAGATAGCTTTCTGAACACGATGAGAAGCTCACATTTGCATAGATCTTTTCATGTGGATAATTATGATGGCCATTCGTGTTTTCTGCACAGCTTAGGACGTCAGATCTGCCTTTAGTTTGTGCTTAAACAGGCAGAAGATGGTGTAACACAGACGAGAGGCCAGCCCAGACCACTTCAGGGGAGGTGATGGTTTGTCGTGTCCGCGTCCCTGTGCACGATGGGGTGCAGGAGGTCACTTGACCTCCAACCCTGGGGTCAGGTGACTCTTTGAGGCCATTGTATGGGGAGCAAATGTCGTAGGAATGGGTTAAAAAGGCTGAGCAGTGACGGTGACATGTCCGGGCATGCTGCTTAAAGGGAGACAGAGAAAAATAGGGAGGGTTAGAGTCATTGATGTGAACGATTCCACTTGGACTTGTAAAGAATGTATTAGCTTTAAATTAAATTACACAGTTTACCCGATTAGTTCCTTTATGCACTTTCGTCAAGTAATAAATAAGGATGAACAAGGTAAACATTTTTATTTATTTTTTTAATGGCTTCTACAAAACAAAAAAAGGCATAGCAACTGACGGAAGATAAGGACATGACTGGGCAAATGTTCAGTGTTTGAATCCAAGTTGGTGTACATTGTTTGTCTTTAACTTTAGCATACAATTATTCTTGCGACAAATATTGCGACAGATTTTATGCTTTTTAAAATTTATATAAGAAATGGGATGCAAAATTCTCCTTTGCTCCTGCAACTTTCTTTTTTTAACAGCTTAAAAATTTGATTCTAATTACAACGATACAAAATGAAGGAATCCTGCAGATCCTCCAAGCTATGTCATTTAAATAGTTGTCTTGCCAAAACGGATTTGACCACATATTTAGTATACAGTACAAACTTTTGATGGGAGTGTATCAAATGTCTGAATGCCTTCTTGAATTTCGAGTAACGTTATTTTATTTGGATATCATTAATGTCATTAATATTGATATTCAGGTATGACATATAGAAGGATGATTCATATCCTATGAGTATTAATAATACAATGGCTAATGTACATCTTGGAGTGTCTGTTGGTGGGACTTGAAGATAAAGAAGAAAATGGTACATGTAGGTAATGATAGCAGTGGCACACAATACATTATTGGAAATGTTAGGCAGCATAACAACAAGTGTAATGATGGACTTGATCTCATCAGGTGCACAGCTATTGTTATATTTTTCTAAAGCATACCTCGTAGTTTTGTATTGACTTCTAAATTCTTTCAGCTGTTTTTTCTGGCTCATTTTTTCAGTCTACTATTGTGGCATGGCAATGTAATTAAGAGCAAGAACCATTTTGAAACGATTTAAATGCAAGAAACAACCAAAAGTATATATCCTATAGGTTAAATCGTCTTACAGTGGACAGATGAAAGCAATACGTTTGGGCCGTTATGTGTTATTATAGTTCATCCCTGCTTGCAGCTTTATTGCAACATGACATTGATTGAAATCTTTCACAAGTTAATGAATTAAAGATATCATTTTGCATTTTTTCTCGTTGATCTTCCCAGCAGCACTGGATTGTGTGTGGATGGGTGAAAAAGAGAGGGCGACCACAACATCTTGTCACTGGTTTTTTGTAAGGGAAGTAAGTTAGAGATGTTATTGGGTTCAGGCTATCGGCTCCATTTCAGACCAAGGTCATAATTACAGGTCCATTGAGACCTCTAGTGGCAACACATTTGCTGGACCAATCTCCTACTGGATTATTGTCAGGAGAAAGTTTGTTTCGACACCTTTGCATATAGGCACCTAAGCATTAGATTTAAGATTCAAATAGGTTTATGTTTACCAGGGCCACCTGGGAAAGTTGACATTATGTTGAAAGAGCTACGTTTTAATGGTACTATATTGAGTGGGCTAATTCTGTCTGGTCAGCTATTGAGAAACACCTCTGGTGCTGGTGGGGTCGCATTGATTAAGGTCGCTGGAAAAGATAAACTGTCAATTGTGCAGACTTGGGACTTGCCGTTAGTTGACACACTTTCTTCACTAAAAGGGTTAAAGTGTATTTACAGCCGATGCTTGGTTTTCTATGTTAATTCTGGTTTATAGGAAAACGACTTTCTCCAAAGCAAATATGTTTGCCTAACTTCCTTAAGGGCTATGTACACAGTCTTTTCTGATGCATACCAACTTAGCTCAGGACAATGGTGCTGTAATTAGCCATGTAACATAAGAGAGCTCAACCACTGACTGAATGAGCATTCTCCATCTGACAAGAGTATTTTGAGTAATCATTTCTGTATGCTGACCCTAACCCCATGGCAGCTTCATGTGCTTGCGATTGCGTAGTGAAAAGACCATTATGCATTGAGAAAGATTTAATTCAGTGTTTATTTTATTTTCTGAGTTCCAATTTGATAAAACCCCCTCCAAGGTGTTTTAACATCAACTCAATACAACAACTTTTGGATGGTGATTGATCTAACTTTTGCTAATCTTGGCAGCAAGATTTCATTGTTTTTGTGGAGAGGTTCTCGACAAAATACAATTTGGAGTGTTCTGGTGTCCACATACTTGTGCTTACCAATGCACTGTTGACAGGCTGGCCTCAGAATAACTATAACAACATTAATTATCTTTTTGTTCTTGTTTTTCAGGTAATGAACCTCTGGCTGCATTAGGAGGGGACAGAAGACTTCTGCAAAAGATGCTGATGATCATCTAATCATCTTTAGGTAGAACTAATGGGTGTGTAGTTATCTGTGATCATGTGGTCTGGACTAGAAGCCAGAGGGATTAGGACAGCAGATTGAACCCAGAAGAAGCGAAGCACTGACACCCTGACTGCACTTCTGGCGATGCTGTAGCAGCACGGAATGGTTTGTGGGTTACACAGAGATGCAGGCCATACTGTGCTGCCGCAGAAGAGCCTGAAAATACGACCTCACACCCCTTCAACCTGTGTAACTAGTAACGTGTTTACTGTTCTAAATGTACACAACTGTTTTCCTGATGATTAAAAGTTGTTTGGATGTGCCTTTGCTGGTCGCCTTACTGTAGCAGCACGTAAATATTGGAGTTAAGACTTTAGCTGAAGCCTCCAGTATTGATCGTGCTGCTGAAGCAAAGCTGATCACTCACAATCAGCACAACCAAGCTAACCCGTCACTACAGGCTGAATGGGGACGGACACCCACAGGTACATCGTTTATGCACAACCACTACTTTGTTCTAATAGTTCATGTGTTGATGCCATCTTTACATTTCACTGTTCTGTCTGCACACTTGAAAAATAAAAATTTGAATTGGCTTTTGACTGCGATGTGTTTTGACCATGATTACATTGTTTTTAAAAAGAATAATGTTCACATAGTATATAAGGATGTTATTTTAAGTTATACTGACACTGAATGCCCCTCGTTTAGATAAATTCACCGCCATACATGAAGAAGAAATCATGCACGTGACAGCCGCGTGCCCTCCCTGCAGCGCTGTGGGAAAGTCCGGCCTGTTTATCATCAGCCGATCACAGATTTGCTGCGGATTAAAAATGAGTACAATAATTATACCATTTCAGTATAAACACCAGTTTTTCTTTTTCAAAAATGAGTTGTTTAAATGTCAAGATATTTTGATTTCGAAAATGTTTTATAAAACAGGTTTCTGCTCGATTTGGACCCAGACGGTCTTTATGATTTCCTCGTTTATACCCAAAGGTTTGACATTATTTGTGTATTATGAATTCAATATGCACAAAAGATATGAGATAGTCCAATTTTAACGGCAAAGCTACGCATGACGTGTCCCGTAACATGGCTTAAATCCTCCATTTTAAGTTGCTTCGGATGCGCTCAATGCGGGCATCTCAGTTGTCCCAGGACATCTCAAATCAGATTTACCTAATAAAAAGTCAATCATTTAATTTATTTTAAACGTTTTTTTAAATATGTGGCATCTATTGGTTGATCTGGCTTTTTTGCATTTTTTTTTACCACATGTTTATGTGACTTTGTGCCGTAAAACACATTCAAGATCAGATTAGTGGTTGCTGCTCACCAAATCGCACGGACTAAATCTTTGGATGAAAATAAATCCTAAATAGATAAACACGTGTTATAATTATTTACTTCATTGATACATTTCACTTGGAAATTATGGGTCTTTTCTGATTTGAACATGTTCTAAAGCCCGGTATTGTGATGCCGTCCACCGAGTGAACGCCTTTTCCTTTCATTTGGCCTTGTAGGCCACTTTAATAATAATTCTAAATTATCTTCTGCTAGTTTTTTCGCAATCATAATTATATATTATCTGGATTTAAGGTATTTGGCAACAGTGGGATTTTTGAAAAATGATACTGGAGAGAAGAAAAAGTGAGATTTGTGACTGCTCTTTTTTCCTAAACGCTAGGAGTTTCTCTGAATTATTATTTTTTTAATTGAGAAATATTCGAATTTAGTTCATGTTTTTGAAATATAAGCCTTCATATAATATATATTTGTATTATTGGCATAGCTTATTTCTGTGTAAATATTAACAATGTCAACGCAGGCCTACTTAATTCCTATTCATTTTGGAAATTATTCAATTAGGTTACCCTTTTTTTTTTTTACAGAATGTTAAATGTCGTGTGTGTCTGACTATGTTCCGTCTTTAGAAAAGCAATGCACATCAAAATATGGAAGCAGTCCTGATAGTGATGCGTTACATTCCACATGTTGTCTTACAACTGTTATGCTTCACTTTTTATGCCGTTTTGCCTTTGTTATGCCTTATTCAACACTTTGTATTACATGTATTTATCGTGCATATTTTTAATTACCTGTACAATTGTAGAATAACACGTCCGTTTTTTGCACATGCAGCCTACTACTGTACTTTCACTCACATGTTTCAGAAAATGTGTTAATTAATTTCTCTGGTAAATTAATATAATAAAAGAAAGTAACATGAACAATTATGCATTTTATTACAGGGATACAAAAAGTCTTTAATCCCCCTCACACACTCAGAGCCTCAGCGCAAAACTGTGGCTCCTGCAGTGATGTGACTGAACAGTGGAGACATCAAATTGGCTTTGCACTCATCTGGATATTATGTAATCTGGATTGTTAGCAAATTCGACTTTAAATGTAGTTTTTATTAAGCCACACCATAGGCCTGTGTAGATGTAGAGCGGCTCACCATGCGACCTGGCTTTTCGGTAATGATTCAAAAAAGTCTAAAATCGGAAACAACATTTGTCTTAATTTGGATTTTGTTAACGTTTTCAAAGGCTATATTCAAATTTGCGTGCCATGACAATTAAAATATTAATGTAGAGTGGTCCATTTATTTTCATGTTGTATTTGCCTGGCAACAGAAGGCTATATATGTACATGCATGCCATGACGTACATCCTGAATTATGGTCAGTGCTGACATCACGGGTTCACTTTGTGGTCTGATTTTAGGATTTCTATCAATTTACTCTACTTCAAAATCAACTTCTGCTAAGAAGAATAGATACACATAATGATAAGTAATCAATGCACTGTTCACTGTTTGTCATTTCGCTATATATGGCCTATTTTTCTGTTAAGACCATTATTTGGTGATGAGCCAAAAGTCTCCCATCCTACCTAAATGGGAAATCATTTGAATAGCCTTGCTTCGATGTTTCCACACACACTTGCATTTGGATTTAAGGCATACAATTCAGTGTTCTGCAAATTCAAATGCATTGCAGAAAATACGTCTGAACTGCAGTCTTAAGTTAACAGGCAGCAGATGTTTGACTTTATAGACCGGACATGCAACGAACGAGTCACGTGAATCTCCGCAAATAGATCTTGTGTGGAAATAAAGACACTTCCCTGCAGACGTGACAATCGTGTATTGCCTTATAGTATTATTATCAATGATGGGGGGGGGGGACAGCTGTCAGTTTTCATGTATATATATCATTAACATATACGGTGTTCTTTTTCCCCTCCTTCACTGCAGCCTGGTGAATATTTCACACGGGCCCTGTTATGCAACGCTTGTAACCTTGAAGAGGTTGCAGCATCACTGTGGTGCTGACGCGCTCTGCAGGGAAGAGGCCAGGAATTACACTCTGTAAATTATTTTTATTACACACGTAAGGCTCGCTTGTGCCTCTAAAAAAAAATGGGCTGAGTTGGCATGACGCACTAAATAAAAAAACAAACATGGACGTGACTTACATTTCACTGTTTATTTATCAAAATCATCTTGGAGTGTGTCATACTGATAAAAGAGAAAGTAGATTGCACACCGATAGTGTCTATCTATGTAAATGTAGGTTACCGTTAACTGTTACTGCTAAGTTGTGCTAACTGTTCATTAGTGGCTGATTTTATTTGATTCGTTGGCTTCAATGAGGTTGGAGCTTGGCCTAAAACGAAAAAAAAGACATCAAAAAAAGTGTTTCCATATATTGAAGTGCATATCTGTCAGATTAGTGTTATGCGCGTCAAGGGTCCCTTGGAATGTAGCAGTGAGTGCACGACAGAGATGTCACAGGCTATTCATTAAACAACGTGTCAATGACACTGACAGTATAGTAAAAGAAGTTCACGATACATTCCTGACCTGCACCCACTAAACCTGAGTACATGTCAGTCATCTCCCGCAGGTACACCCCAGTGTGGGTCAGGTGCGAGGAAACAGCAGTGAGCATCGGTCCAACCTGCGAGGGCACGTAGGGTGCCAGGTTGTGCGGCTGCAGCACGAGCAGAATCGGCAGTAACACACTTATTAATAAGGTGATCCATCTCGACGCTGGCATCCGTGATCCCCCCTCTCGGTAGTGGCCATTCTCGTGGGGGACTGAGATCTTGTCCACTTCTCTGAGCCTCAGTGAGTCCCACTTCTTCACATCGAAATTACGCACGAGAGGACCGACGTCCGTGTATTTCCGAGAGGGCAGCGGAGTCTCCTTCAGGACCTTAAACTTCTCCCGAAACTCCTGCATCTGCTGCAGAAAGCACAGGGGGTCGGATTCACTCCGGAAAGTCTCGGCGATGCCCAGCGCCCGTGTGTGCTCCTCCACCGCCGCGCTCAGCTTGGTGATCTCCGGGTCGTATTTCTGCAATACCACCAGCTTCAGCGTTTCAAAATCGGAGAGGATCTCATTCTTTTTGCATTCAATGTTACTGATGAGTTTGTCGAAATAATCTGTCACCTTTGCTGCGTCCTTGGTCACATACTGTAGTGCTTTTTTCTTACTGGCTTGCAGTGTCTCCAGGCAGGACAGGATGTCTGCGCTCTGCCAGCTCTCCACCCCGCGCAGCAGCTCTTCATACGCCTCCTTCTCCTGCTCATACGCCTCCTCCAAGGAGCAGAATGTATGCCCTCTGTGGTCATCTGTTGTCGCGCAAAACCCACAGATTAGGTTTAAATCCGTGGCGCAGAATATGTTTAGAGGCTGGCCGCAGTGTTGTTTACAAACAGACATTTTAGGCATAACCCTTATTTTGCTGTATTTCTCCACAATCCCACGTAGAGAGTAGTTGATCTGCAGGTTGTTGGCGCCGTTGTGAGGGGTCTCTTTGCGGCATGTGGGGCATTTGATAGGTGTTCTGAAATATGGACCTCGGTTTCCATCCAACAGTCCCTCCAAGCATTTCTTGCAAAAGCTGTGAGAGCACAGCAAAACCCGGGGGTCTTCGAAGAGACCGCAGCAGATTGGGCACGTAAGTTCCTCTTCTAGCTGCTCCATGGTATCCTGTAAACACATCACCCAAGCGTCAAATCGGTGCTTAATTAAAGCAAAGAAAACCCAATAAATCAACACTCATATAATAGGCTGCCCAATACGCACCCACACTGAAAGATGCCGCGCCATAAAGGCAGACAGGCATTAAACTAAAATGCTGTAGCATCGCAAAGGATACAGATTTTGCAGTCATGTTCCAGCTGTGTGAGGAGTATTCCCATCCTGAAAGTGAAACTGACTTGCATCGTTTGCCCGCGTAAAAGATTGGTATGAACTCTGCCAAAATCTCCATTTGGACATATAACGTTAAAAAACATCCTGCTTTCTGCTGTCATTCTGTAACCAGCTCACGTTGAAGAAAACAAACCCAAAAATAAGGCTGGATATAAGTCAATAAATCGTGAATAACTTTATAAATGCAAACTATTTTCTCCTAGCGTTGTATAACAGAACAGCAGGGCAGTGGTTAGCTAATCTAGCCCTATATTCCCGCCGTCTAACCAATCCAATGCGACAAATTATCGACAAGCAGGGTTCGCGTTAGCGTTGCTCCTGTTGGCAAGGTGCTGAAGTAGAGCTGTGACAGATTCTGCAAGCGCATAGTAACATGCAACTACTGGACCAAAAGAATCACTCACCAGCTGCTGGGACGCACAGTGCAACGCAATCATGGCGCTTGTTGCTGTGCAGACTTCGCCCTTTTCCGGGTTCAGAGTTAACCGTTTGAGTAGCGAACAGAACATTAAAACACACTAATTTGTCTGGTTTTGTGCATATGTACAGTGGGCTGTCCACTATGTTGTGAACAGCATGAAAAGTACTGGTGTTTTGAATTTTTTGGGGTGCGTAATTTCAGTTATTGGGGTTGTTTACGTTGCTGTCCCTGCTGGGTACTTTGCAGAGGATCCCTGACAGTCCAATGGGGGAGGGGCTGTTGCTATGCAAAACATTACAGCGTGAAAAACTGTCAACTAGGTTTTAGTCCCACTTTCTGTATCACATGTTTTTACATTAACCTACTTTAGTTGCTTGAGTGGATACTTTTCAATCTTTTGTACACAGTTAATAAAACAGATGCAAGCGAAGGCACGAGGCTGCATAAACCTATTAAAAAGTACTCTTCAATGCTATGTTGCACTGAGCTGTCAAGTGGCACATTATCTTGGCACGACAGACTATCTATATCAAACATCAGCAACATAACTTTATGTTCCAGCCATTGGTGATGCTCTTTAGCTGATAATCCGTATCACTAATTACACATTTGCAAAACAAACATTGGATATATTTTTAAAAAAAACACTTTCTTTTCACTTGAGGTTATGTAACATCGATACCCAATAGTTACTTAGTCACGTGTAGAAATGTTGACCTTGATTTTCTTCCCTTGTTTCCATGCCATCAGGAGCAACTGCCTATTTTAGCCACTGTGATTGGATACAGTTGGGTTGCAGGAGCTTATGTACTTCCGGCCTCTGTCGCTGTGCGTCGCTGTTGCGTAAGAGGAGTCTGACATATTTTACGTCAAGTGCTCTTTGGTTCGGTGGTATTTGTTTCCGGATGTGTAACTAGAAGCAAGAATGGCTGCGCTGTTTACGTGTTGTCTAGGCTGCTGCGGGGATGGCGGATCGGGGCATATCCCCCTGAAAGAAATGCCTATCGTTCAGTTAGATACTCACCACATGGGTACGTAGTTTTGTGTTTAAATCTCAGAGCTGTTAAAGTGATGACAATACGCCTAGTTGTGACATAACGATATGCTACATCCGCCGTTAGCATCATAGCTAACTGATAGCTGCTCGTTGTGTTGTAACGTTTGTTCAGTTAAATGTGTTTTTATATTTTGCCTCGAGTGGTTTCAGTAATTTCTTACAACGTTCCTCTTAATTTTCTTCCTACAAGGTTACTCATTTATTAATTAAAGGTGAGTCGTGATATTTAGTCTCCTGCAGCTGAACTCAGACTGACTTACTGATTATTATTCTCTGTCAATTAATCAAGTGAAAGGTTATTAAATAAGCCCATCGGGTAACAATGATATATGTCAAATAAAAACAGGAAACCATTTCACTTGAGCTGCTGAAAGATGTATCAATCAGGAGGAACATTTCCCATTTCTTCCATCTACTTTAAGTTCCCTTCAACCCATTTTTTAAGTCAAATTAAAGTATTGTGCTTTAAATCATGATTTGTGTTGTCATTCAATCCTGTAAGAAAAATCAGGCACATTGTGTTTTTTTTTATGTGGGTTTTAACAACAAGATATATTTTTGCTTTTGTTTTGCAGGCACAGATGTTGTCATTGTGAAGAGTGGCCGGAGGATATGTGGCACTGGAGGCTGTCTGGCCAACGCTCCTCTGCACCAGAACAAAAGTTATTTTGAGTTTAAGATCCAGTCCACTGGTAAGTGCTTGGCTTCCAGCTGAAGATCACCCTGTTTCTCTGCTGCTCTCTATTCTTGCCAGATTTACATTTTCCGGTGCATTCCTAGTGGGAGTTTTTGGACATGCAGTTTTTAGCAGCTACAACGTGACGGCATGCTCACTTATGGATTTCTGTGGACTTGCCAAGAAAATATTTTAAAACACAACTCATCCAGCTCCACACTAGCCACAGACTGTTTAATGCTAACATACAATGTTAAATGTACCATGCATGAAAAACATACCTAATTATCTTGAATTGCAACTGTCCTGTCTTTGTGGTTAAAAGGGTTTTAAAATGGCAGATACTCAGTGTTGTGCTTTGTGTTCAGGTGTGTGGGGAATAGGTGTGGCGACGCAGAAAGTGAATCTTAATCAAGTGCCTATGGGCAGAGACACAAACGGCCTAGTCCTGAGGCATGATGGGTCTGTGTACCACAATAATGAAGAGAAGAATCGCCTACCTGCAAACAGCCTCCCTCAGGAGGGTGACATTGTGGTAAGTGCAAGATTATTTAGCTTGATCCTGGTTTATGTTTGATTGCTCTTTAGCTTTGAGTGATTTAAGTGTTGCCAATTCTCGTAAAGCTAAACATTTAAAACGTTGTCTCTGAATCAGCACTCAAGCAGAGAGTTTCTATTCCAAAGATAAAGTGTTCTCAGACATTGCCAAAATTATATTTGTTTCAGAGTAAAGGTGCATCACTAATGGTTTATCTCTGTTCTATCAATTAGTCTGTACATATCTCGCTACAGTATCTTGTTCAAGGTTCTTTATTTGTCATACGAACATAGCTACAGTGTAGTTATGTTGATGAAAATATTAGGTCACAGGCTTCTCCAACCGTGCAACACACAGATAAACAGAAAAATATAGTGCAAGTAAATGGTAAATACAAAAATAAAAAAGTGCAATAGTGAAATACGAGTCTATATGCAAGCTATTGGAATGATATATTAGATAAATAGATACATAATGACTAAGTAGCAGATGAATGTTATGGATGTTGTTTCAACAGTTCAGTTGTTGAACAGTCTTATTGCCTGTGGGATGAAGCTGTCTCTGAATCTGGTGGTTTTAGTCCGGATGCTGCGGTAACGCCTGCCAGACGGCAGCAGACAGAACAGTTTGTGGCTGGGGTGATGGGGGTCTTTTATAATCTGGAGGGATTTCTTCTTGAGCCGCTGGGAGTAAAGGTCCTCCATGGATGGCAGCTCCGTCCTGGTGATGTTCTGTGCAGTTTTCACCACCCTCTGTAAAGCTTTATGATTGAGGGCGGTGCAGCTGCCGTACCAGGCTGTGATGCAGCCAGTCAGGATGCTCTCTATGGTGCACCTGTAGAAGTTGCAGAGTATCCTGGAGTCCATGTTGAACCTCCTCAGCCTGCGGAGGAAGAAGAGCCGCTGTCCAGCTTTCTTGGTGATGGTGGTGGTGTGAAGAGTCCATGTCAGGTCCTCAGTGATGTGGACCCCGAGGAACCTGAAGCTGCTGACTCTCTCCACCGTAGTCCCATTGATGGTGATGGGGGCGTGTCCCTCTCTCTGCTGCTTCCTGTAATCCACAATCAGCTCCTTTGTTTTGCTGACGTTGAGATAGAGGTTGTTATCCTGGCACCAAGATGTCAGGTTTTTGACCTCCTCTCTGTACGCCGTACTGTTGATTGTGGTCTATCAACAGGCATGCAAGAGTAGCTTATTGGTATATTCAGAACTCCTTCAGACTCATGGACTGCACGCCACATTGATGGTGACAGTGAAATGCTTTTTCCAACATGGGAAGGAAAGTATTCGGTTGCTAATTGTCATCAGTTTATTAATCATAACAGATTTGTAGTTATACTGAGACAATTTGTAATACTTGATAAGCCATTCTCGTTGTTTTTCAGGACTCAGAAATCATTTTGTTGAATATGATATAATGAACACAGACTTGGGTTCTGAAAAAATGTTTTGCGGCGGGTGCTGCAGAACATCCTGTTCTCGAAACCCAGCGGGCGCAGAGCAGTTCTAAAAATGATGCAGACTTCTATCTTTCACTGTCAGCAAGCGTGTCATTATCTGCTCAAAGCAGTGTGTGACATATGCTACCTGACATGAGAGAAATCTTGGTTTTTCTTTTTCACAAACCTAAAATATAAACGCATCAAATGTATTTCTGTCACGCTACTTTTATGACAGCATGTGGTTCTGCTGAAGAAGAGAGAAAAACTGCTTTAAGCTACAACTACTGAAACTTAAGGCTTGGTGACTTTAAAAAACCTTAAGTGGTAGCTCTTTCAAGTGAGCTGTACTAGAGGGGCCCTAAAGACACATAGACATAATCAGACGATAGATCGAAGACATTTAACAACCAATCATATTTAATAATCATGCAGGAATAAACTTGTGTAAAGATTATTTAGCACACGAGACAATGTAAAAATTCAGGTCAGCCAATCTGTCAGTCAGTAAGACTTCTAAAATGAGTGATGCATGTTCATTTGGGTTTACTACAGCTTTTAAAACGGAGACCCTAAAACCAGCATGTGTTTTACTGTCCACCTGTCCACTAAATTGTTGTCACATTTGCATGCACAAATTCAGTTGTTAATTCCAGTTTTGTTTGTGTTCCTCAGGGCTTCACATATGACCACGTGGAGATGAATATATATCTGAATGGAAAGAACATGCACTGTCCTGCCTCAGGGATCCGAGGCACTGTATACCCCGTTGTTTACGGTACGTTTATTTGTTGGCCGGATATGCTGAATACTTTGAAAAGGGGCTTGGTAATTTGGGGAAATGTTTTGATTATTTTTCTTAATTGTAAACTTTATGTACTGACAATTGCTCTCCCAGATATACCCTTTTGGCAGTTACACTTTTCGCCACTAGAGGGCTGTATTTGTACATTTTTACAAAACACTGCTCATTTCGGGCTGTTAGTTGTACTAAAAAGAAGTTTCCACCCATGTAGAGTCACATTGACTAATTGAAACAAGTTCAGACAAACATTCTTGACATTCAGGTTTTATTCTAGTCAAAGGAAGATTTTATTTGTCAAACTGGATTCTTTTCATAAATATAATCTCTATAAAATGTACTGTTGTATCTGTGCAGGCATCATTTATATTAAAGGCATTATTATTATTTATTTTGTATTAACATAGACTGAACTTCACTGATAGGGACATGCTGCACTCTTTTCCATATCGAATCTAGTATAGTATGAACTATTGAATACTAATGATGCTTTCAAATATAGATTTGTAATTTTTTCTTTCCTCCCTCTTTGAGTATTTTAAGATTGACTGACTATAAGAAATGATCAAAAAAGCTGGTAAAAAAATGGCCTTCAAACATAATTTCTGCTGTAATCACACATCAGGTTTACAACTGGTAAACATAGCAAGGCCTTTGGAGAGTGTGTGTCCACGAGTTGATGCCGCTTCTCTTCCTCAGGACTGATTTCAAAATTGTAACATTGTATTTTGAGGGATTTTGTTCAGATTGCTGCCGGTACGAGGCATCTGACCTAGTTCCTACAGAACAAATAACTTTGTAAAATAAACAAGATAATTATATCTACTTGATTTCCTTTGACTTTATCAGTATTAAATATCTTGCCAGAGAGACTTGGGTAAATGTATTATTTTAACCTTTTTGAAGCTTTGAATGGGTTTCATTTCAATTTCGTTTTTATTTGTTTATTATCCCTGTGTGAATTAATATCTGTGCTATCCTGTGTTCACGCTTTCTGCTGAGGCTGCTAAGACACCTGGATTGTCCAAAATAATCCATACGGAGATCACTAGTTTTATCTTATGAGCTTAAAGACACACTAATAAGATCAATGTGTGCTGTAGTCAAAAACTATAAAAACATCATTTGATATTTTCAATTAAATGCTGCTAATACTAATATTCTGTTCTGTATGTTAACTTGTACACAAGCTTGTGCTCATTTCTTTCCCTTCTTTCTTTGCAGTGGACGACAGTGCCATCTTAGACTGCCAGTTTAGTGACTTCTACCATCCAGCTCCACAAGGATTTGAGAAGATCCTCTTTGAACAACAAATCTTCTAAAGGATCACTTCAGCCTAAGCGCCTCTTTAACATGTCACCCTCTCCTGTATCTCATAGCAACCTCTGTGACACTACAGTCTGATCTTGATTGGATATCATGTGTGGCTTAATGCCTCTTGTTTTGTTTCCCCTGATTACTCAGGGTCTCTCTACTCATACCTCGCGTTGACGTTGGAGTATCCTTGAAGGAGTGGGGGTTTCTGATCATTGGTTGTCTATGAATATGCTGGTGGTTAACTGTCAAATATTTACCTTGTGTCAGTGGTCCTCGCCTTGTATTGACTGAAACACTTTCAATCGCTGCTTTCATTCTCAATCTGTGTGTAGATGCCGGACAGCGGATGAAATGGTTAAATGTTCAGGATCAAAAAGCCATGTCTTATTCACATTGCTTTATACTTATATTATTTGATTATTTAATCTCATAAATGTCCTACTGACTCAGCATACGCCCTATATTTATTTGAGTCACCTATTCACTTTCATTTAACAAAACCTGTCTTTCTTTTGGCCGGCAAGGGTGTGAACTAATGAAGCTGTCGATACTGACACATCTGTCAACAAAATCCCATTCACTTTTATGTACTTTTCTTTAATTAAAAATACAATAAAAAGAAGTGATATTGCAACACTTTTTCAATTTGAGTTGACACAAAGATGGTTTAAATATGCACTCCAGTTATCCAGAACACATTCACAGAGAACTGCCGGTTTGACTTTCACTGAGGTTTGCTGAGGTGACATGCTGCGAATATATTATACAAATATTTAAAAAAAACATTTCTTAAATTACTGACACTAATTATATATCAAGCTTGATTTCCAAATCATTTCTATGAACAGCTCTTTAGACTTTCCACACTTCCTGAAATCTTCATGGTGTTTTTATTCTAATTATCAGAAAATTACCAAAGTTGGTGCCGGCTGTCTCAGATTAAAGATTTTAATGGTTAAAAATGTCAATCTGTTGTGTTGTATTGGCATTGCATAATTCGCTGCTAACAGTTACATATTTAAAATGCTTGTCTTTGGTTGCACTAATGATGTTATTGTACGAGCATATCCAAATATTGTCGATTCATTAAACTTTTGTGTCTGGAGGCAAACCTTTGTCGGTCTGTTCTGTCTTACAGTACATTGACTGAATGTAACTAAGTACATTTACTCAAGTAGTGTACTTGTACTTCAATTTATTATTTCAAATGATGCTACGTTATACTTTTACCCCATTACATTTTGAAGGGAAATGTTGTACTTTTGACTCTTATTACATTTGTTTTACAGTAGTAGTTATCTACTTCTTCTATGTATTCTTACTAATACACTAGATATTAGCCAGCAGTATATCAAATAAACTCCACCTTTTACCAGGTGCATTGATTAAAGTGATGAACACATACATGCATTAATAAATCTAAAACATTTTTAATATATGATTCTGAAATGGGCCATACTACATCATGAGTACTTTTACTATTAGCCCTTTACATTTTGATGCTTATATGCTTCCGTCGAATGTCTTTAAGTACATTCACTTATTATCTAGGTTAAGATATCTAGAAGTGATTAAAATGAGCACCACATTAACAGGTAATGTAATGTATATGATCCTGAAATGGGTTATTATTATGCAAAATAAGTTATTTAACTGGTATGTTTTGAAAATGTTGATACTCATACCTGTACTTTAGCCTGTGATATTGAATGCAGGACGTTCACTTATAACTTAAACAATTCTAGTGTAAGTGAAATATCTGAATACATCTCAAGGCTTTTATTGTTATGTGTGCATAGCTACAGTGTAGTTAATTTATGACAATGAAAATCTTAGGTCGCAGGCTCCTCCAGCAGTGCAACACAACAAAACAGATACAATAGTAGGCTATAACAAGTAAATACAATAAAATAGAATATAATAGAAACAGTGCAGAATAGTACAGTAATTGGAATATTGATATATGAGTTGCAAACAGATGAATGTTATGTATGTTTCAAAAGTTCAGGTGTTTAACATTCTTATTGCCTGTAGGATGAAACTGTCCCTGAGTCTTCATCTTCTATCTCTGGCTGCGTATCATCTTCACTGTTATGCGCAACATTGACGGTTGAGCTGCAAATCTCCCTGACATCCTGTGGGACAGTAAATCAAAGGGGAATTTATTCTTACTGCGTCGAGTAAGCGGAGAAAAGCAGGGCAGCCCATGCAGGAGCAGTAACTCCTCCCCTGTGTCACCGCCCCCTCCTCTCCCTCTCGGAGCACAGCAGCACAGGAGCTGCCTCGTCTTTCACGGAGGAGATCCCCGAAAGCCGGAGTAATAGCAAAACCCCATACAGCCATGGCAGAAAACGCCGGCTTGGAAAACCACCGCATCAAGAGCTTTAAAAATAAAGGACGTGATGTCGAGGTGAGCTGACATATAAACGCGAGTGTTATTGACATAAATCCGGATAGTTTTGCGTAAAAAAACGATAGTCTTTGGGCCTCGTTGGGGAGCCTGGCTGCAGCTACTATTTAAGCTAAGCTAACGGGAAGAGTTCGCCATCAAAAGTGCTTATCTTGTCAACGACAAATCACACCCTTGATTGAGTGATTGTGATGATTGTTTAACACCTAACACGTGGTCTACTATTATTCAGTTGGTAATGTTTGTAAAGAGGAAGCGACATCACAGCTGGGCCGTTAGAAATGGGAGATTTAAGGGCAGGCGGTGTAGCTGTCACTGCCGGCTAACGACACCTAGCATGTTGGATGGGCACCGGTGGCTGGGCCCGACCGGCTCTAAAATCTTCACACTTGCTTTATTTTATATCAAGTTGGTCTTAATCAACACCACATCTAACTTGCAAACGTTACATAAATGTGTCATTATTAGCAAAACATCAGTTAAGGTTGAATAACATGGCTGGGTCACATCCACCCTTACCAAACATTGCCCCTCCTAGTTAGCATGCTAATGTTAGCATGTGAAGCCAGCTGAGCTACACTGAGCTGCTAGCTAAGCCACTAAACTGTTAGCTACATGGTAATGATGCGATGACCTTAGTTTTACAGTCTCATTTGGTGTGGAAAAGTCAAATGTAATGTCAACTAAAATAATTTGAGGTCATGTATGATTCAAATCCATCAGTGAGATTTGGATAGCATTGAGCCAGCAGTAGGCTACTATTCATTATAACTTGGTGTCATCACATTTTAAGTTGACATTGCTATTAAACTATGAAACATAATTGTAGTATATTCACTGTCTGGTCATATTTCTTTGAAAACACCTCTGGTAAACTATGTACCATACTGCCAAATGGGTAGTGTTAACAGGCTGGGTATTGCAGCATCATACAACTAACAAGTCGAATTATACATGTATGTGACAGGCAGCATTTGTCTGAATGCCCATTGACTTGATGACCAAACCATTTGGCAAAGGCTGTGTTCAGACCAGCAAAATATAAAGGAAGCTGACAGTCTTGGACCAAAGGATGTCGAAGCAAAAACTGTCTAGACTTATTTAGATGAACTTCCTCACTTCTATCAGGGTTATTCAACAAAAGATATATCTCGAAATGGTCCTTTTTAAGAACATGTCAGGGGGCTGTTTCATCCTCAAATTCCAAAAAGCACAGATCCATGTCCCATTGGTGGTTGTTTTGAAACTTGGGGTCAGTGTGACAAGCACATGGCTACTATAACAGACAGACTTTGCCAAGTGCATTCCTGGTGCTATTTCAGGCATGTTGGAAGTCCGACCTGGGTCTCTTGTGAATGATCATCATTTCTTTTAAATGGATGACTCTACAGGAGGGGAGAAGATGCCAGTTTGGGTTTTATTTATTTAGGTCAGGCTTAAAGGATTGCTCTTCATTTCTGACATCACTAGAAACGGCTTTGAATTGCAAAGCAGTAAAGACGCATGCTGTCGGATGTAAGCTCCTTTGTTTTTGCAGGAAATAATTATTTCAATGTGTTAATGGCGTGGTTAATGCCCTTTATTTCTTACCTTGTAGAATTCCTGGTTTAACGGTTTTGTTCTTTGAGTTATTCTTTGAAGGATTGTCTTTATATGCATATGGTCTTTGTTATCGGGATATCCGAATACCTTTATTCGTCCAACAGAGGGTACATTTACAAAAAGTTCATATTTATGATACAGCGACCAACAGAATTAGCCAATTAAAGTAAACTAGGGGCATTTACCTCTCTTAAGCTTTAGTGATTAAATGATCACCAACTTTGTTGATAATCACGTAATGTTTAAAGTCATTTTTGACTCCAAAATGGTAGAAAAAGCTCTTGTTTGCCTCTCAAATGTGGAGATGATTTTGTTTTTCAAATCATAATAGCTTAATATTTGTATGTTTCAGACTTTTAGATAGAAAATAATTATCAGAATTATAGATTCAATGAAAATAACCATTAGTTTCAGCCTTACTTTACACCCGGGCTGGACTTTTGTATTCTGATGATCTGCTGTCTGTAAGGGACGGTGGTCGGGACACCTATCTGCCCCACATCCTCCTGATTTATGACTGTCCTATATTACGTAACAGGCTATTTAGGAAGGCAACATGAACCTCTTCAAACAGTCACAAGATCTTAGACCATCTCAAACGGTTCAGGATGAACTGCAAACCCAACCAACCTACATCGCTTGTGCTGTCTTTAGTTCAATGATATTAAAAAGTCTCTGTGTTTATCTTCACATAAACTCTTCCTTACCTTCAAATGTGTTGGTTATTGTTGTGATGATTCAAATCTGTATGTCTAAATTAAGGGGAATAATACATCTATTACATGCTCTGTGAGATCCCAAAAAGGTTTTGGTCAATACTGCATTCAATCTAAAGGACATCATACAATTTGATATTTTTGCCCATGAGATTTGATCATACTTCTTGTGTTACTGTCGATTGGGTTATGTGAAATGCTTAATAAAGTGTTATTTTCACTGCAGTAGCATCTCTCAAAAATGTGCCGAAGCCCAAATATTTGTTTCATTTGCTGACACTTTTTCTTCTTTGTTACAGACTATGCGAAGACATCGAAATGAGGTGACGGTTGAGTTGAGAAAGGTGAGGAAAAGATCCACTGTCTGTCTTCACATACAAGCTTCACTCATTTAAAGAACTATTTATCTGTCTTAGACCCTCGATGCTTAAGTCCATCATTCATGTACAAAGTACCTCATGCTATTTAATGACTGATTATAATATCCAATTGTTCTTAATATTTCATTATTCCCCCTACCTGCCAACAGACTATAGAAAACAAACCAAATCTACCTACGGGTACTAATCGAATAACCGGAAATGAACCAGAACAACAATTAGCTAAATCCTGCTTAAAACCTTTCTGTTACTTCTATACATGTGAAGTTCTTGGTATACTGTCTCAGGTTGAACACAGGACACACAGTCATGTATTTTACTCTGCTTATATCAATTTGACAGTATATTTTATGTTCTTAGACGAGTTGTACCAGAGTCAGTTTTCGTTACCAGGATACAGTGTTTGTTTATTTTCTGCACTCCCTGCTGTTCAGGCATGGTGACAAAATTGAAATGAAAGAGGAGCTTCCAGTTCTTTTAAAGTAGTGCTGGGGTCTGTGTCGATTGTTGCGCAAAACATGAACAAAAGGGAAATATACTTGCAGGTGGGCAATGTGCAGTTTCGTCATGTGACGTATTTTGTGGTCCTTTACCAGAGGCTTAACGTTTAAAGGAGGACGATACTATTTGAATGCTAACCTCTACATTATTTTGAGGGGGTAAACATCACAAGTGTACTCATTTTCATTGTGTTCTATATCCTTCATTCTGTTCCGCTGTAAGTGAGAGCCATGCTAAGTTGCGTTGAGGTTACTTTACGGCTTTGGATAAACACTTTGGATGCTGCTGCTGCTCTTTGATGGCATTGCCCAAAGATATTGATGCATGGACTTTGACCTTGAAGCAATGCAAGGTGAGCCTTCACACCGCTGTAACCGTCAACAGTTAGCCGGTCTCACTGGCAGCAATACATATCCCAACATCATGTTTCACAGTCGATGCCCCGAGAATCAAGTTGTTTTCCTCTGCACATTATTCTTTCCAGCCTTCTGGTGGATTTGGT